CAAAAAAAAAAAAAAAAGAAAGAAAGAAAGAAAACAACTGCTAGGGTAAATGAGGGACCCTGTGCTCTGCAAGGGCATTTACTAGTCAATTAGTCTACTGCATGATCTGACAATGCCTAAGAACATCGACAGTATTTTTTCTACTGGGCAGACCTTGCAATGAGTAGGAGCATATATACAATAATCAGAGATCAAAACAGAAAGCTCATAAGGAAAACATGGTAAAGAAAAAGTGTCCAGAATGAGAACAGTTTTGCAAAGAATCACTAACATTTATAATGAAGTATTCTTCCTGAAAAGAAAAAAATAAGTATTCCATTTACCAGCATGCATAATGAATGGGTGCCCAGTGGTCACTATCTAATTGGTTGACTGAAAATCTTTCATTGAGAAGTCGGCTTAGTAATTCAGAATCTCCTTCACAGGCACTTCGGTGGAGAGGAAAATCATCTACCCACTGTCGTTCCCTAAGCATTAAAAAGAAATTTAAAAAAATAAACAGGACTGCTAATATTCAAATTTTTCCAAACAAACATGACACATCAATGAAAAGTATGTATAACTGAGCAGCTGAAAACTAAATAGTGAATACACATTGCATACTAATTGCATATATAATTTTAAACAATGCTTTAACATTAGAAAATACGTTTTTTTAAAAAAGCAATGTGAAGTAAGACGAAAACAATACTTGTCTTCTGTGACACTGCTCATGCTTCTCTGCCATTTTTCCTGCTTGGGAATTTGGATTTTTGAATAGTCTGGAGCTCCTAGACCAAAGTATGGATTTATTACCACTTTATCTACCTAGAAAGGGAAAACAAAACAACAAAACCTCTTAGGAGCTTTGTCATCTTAATGTCCACAATTAGTAATAGATGTATACATTTCAAGAAAAAAATTATATTTGAGATAAAATATCTTTTAAACCAGAGCCAAAACTCATTCAACTCTTACCCGGTTTGTATATTGCAGATCTGATCCAAACAAAGGGTTGTAAATACAGGTATCTGCTTTCTCTAGGGCTAACATTTTACTCTTTATTTCTAGGGCACTATAGCCCATATGTAGTGAGTTTTCTGTCTGACCTGATTCAGTAGCATATGCAGGGTTTATGACATTAGTTTTTATCCGCTCGAGAGGAGAAGGTCGGAATAAGGCTGGAATAAAGTGAGATTGTGCATGACGTTCATCTAACCACCTGGCAAATTAGAAAAAGAAGGTAATAGAAGTACCTGCTCAAAGGTGAAGATGAAAAAAGCAGACTACTATCCAACTCTGAAATGTGATACTTTCTAACATTACCATCAGACTTTATCATTTTAATTAGCATTCGTTAAGCTGCCATTTAATCTTATTTTCTAAATTTTTATTTATATTGCAGACTGATTTGTAAAATGCTTTATTTTAATGATTTTTAAAATTGATGCATAATAGATATACAGTGTCACAGTACATATGATAATTTAACGCATTCATATAACATAAAAATCAAGTCGATGTGCAAGTGCTTCATTTATTATTAATAAAAGTTTTGTTATTTGTTTGAAACAGCAAACAATTTTTACAATGTACATGCCATTATAGTAATAAAAACTCCTTTAAAAAAATTTTAAGTACTTTTAAAATTTAAACAACTGAGATGCAGGTGACATTTAGCCCTACTGTTGCAGAAAGACAAAGGTATAAGAAATTAAATGACTTGTTCATTGATAAGAGTAACTCGATATTTTCATTATTTTCTTGCAAAAGTGTCTGTATCTACGAGAACTAATTTCTACTATGAACATATATTTTCTTAATTAAAAAATATTTTTAATGGCATTTCTTACTTATCCAAGGCTATTAACATCCTTGCTGTAAGTGTAGCAAAGTGAGTACTGGACTCACTACAGACTCGCATAATATCCTGTAAGCAGTAAAAAACTGGGCATCCTGGAGTATATGTGTATTTAGTATTATCTGAAAAAGAAAAATGAAGAATTATGTTGCCATATAAAAGGGTTACACCTGCATGTTTTTCATTTAAACATATACCATATGTTAAGAAAAAATTAAAACTTGGTAAGTAAATATGTAAATTGCTCAAGATTTGGAATTAGAAGGTCCAGGTTCAAGTGATGGCTAGATGTGTGAATCCTGGAGGACTGCAGAAATTGTTTCCTCTTTCTCTTCTGCAACATTGTTGTAAAACCTATTAATAAGATTTCTAACACCATTTAAGATATTGGACTTTTTAACCTAAGTATGCCTGGGAATATATATCTTGAACACTAGAACTGGCTAATAAAAATACGTGTAAGTACTGAGTAGCAGTAGGCTGATGCGATGCCATGGTGCATCTTTAATATAGTATATCATTAATATTATTACCTTTTTACATGAGACCAGTACTCTACAGCATCCAAAGTCATTAAACATTCAATGCCTTATTGAATTCTTCCAGCACTATAAACCAAGTAGGAACAGGTAAAAATACTGCCCTATCTTACAAATAAAAAGCTAGAGATTAAAGAGGAAATCTGTCCAAGTCACAAAATTAGAGAACTGCAAGGTCTGCACTGAAACTCAGTATTTTTTAATTATTCCAGGATGTCAAAGGCTCCAATTAAAATTTCACATTAAATCTACATTCTTTAAATATTACCGATACTACTGGCAGAGTATTTGAGAACTATTATTGACACTTTCTTGTCCCAAATACAAGATAGGTTCTGATCATAATCTGTTAATTTTCCAGAATACTTAAATAACAATTTTCACTCATCTATGACATATCCTTTGAAAAATCCTTACCATAACCTGAGCACTTTTAATTTCAATTATGACTTCCCTCCTCACTTCTTCATACTACTTTCAAAAACTGAAACTAAAACATTACTATTCAACCAAGAAGCCTGTATATTACTTTGAAATCAAAATACCTTTAAGTAACACAAGTCCCTTCTTTTATTAATTTTAAAGCATGTATTTTACAACAATATTATAATAGTAACTATGAATACAAAATCCTAAGTTCCTCAATAGAATTTCACTTAGCATCAAAAGTACATAAAAATGTATAAGATAAATTTAGACTTCACCTTTGACAACTGATGGAACAATAAATAATGCTGCTTCTCTCCCCATCTTCTCTCCATCCAGAGGAAATGTTTTCATTAGTACCACTCGTTTTCCTAATCATTTTTTTAAAAGTCAGCAAAGATAAAAATAATAGACTTTTAAATCTTATAAATTACCTTGAGAATTAGAAAACATGCTTTAAAAGGCAACATTAAGAGGAACTAAGATATATAAGCAGTCAATTTTATTATATGCACTAATAAAACTGATAATTCTGATAATAGTACAAAATCACTCTGTGGACAATCAACCTGTAAATTCAGGGTTCTGGTCTTATCTCACTAAAAGAGAAGATTCCTATGCATAGCAAGGAAAACTGTCCTGCTAAGAATTGAGAAAGCAGCTAAACAGCAAGGCACCCTTCAGGGTCAACAAATATACTTCCTCCCTTAACTGTGCTATGGATGGTAAGGATTTTATTACATTCTAAATATATTTACTATTTTCTGGTATATATAAGTCTCAAAGTCTTAATGCTTAGTGGATCTTCATTTAACATTCAGCCTCCATTCTCAATTTCAGTTTTATTGAAATCTGACTGGGCTACAAAACTATTGTTCTGAATTCTTACCACCATTTTTAAACCTGTTTTTTTCTGAATTGGCAATGGGGGGCTAAAAATAATAACCTACAAGTTTTATATTCTAAAACTCCTCCTCCTCTAGATACCTTTGCCATTCAATTTCCTCATCCCAAGAAACAGAAACTTGTTCTTGGCCCATGCAGGAATTCCTAGCTGGCTGGTGGGATGCCTTCTGTGGACAGGCAGATAATATAACATTTCAAATAGCTTCATTTATTCACAAAATATCATAATGAATATTTGTGATTAAGGTCTATTATATTATAGCCCCAAACAATTATTTTACAAAATGAACACTGTACAAACTGCGTGTTGGATTAGATTAGATAGAGGTATAGAATAGCATTCTAATAAACTTCAGAAGCACTATTTCTTTTGCCTGGCTTGAGGTCGTCTCCACTTAATCTTTCCTGCCTTGATGTTTTTCCAAATCCAGTTCTGATCCATTCTTTTTTTAAAGTTTTTTTTTTTTTTTTTAAGTTGGACTTTCACTCTGTCACCCAGGCTGGAGTGCAGCGTCCCGATCACAGTTCACTGCATCCATGACCTACTTCCTGGGTTCAGTGATCCTTCTGCCTCAGCCTCCAAAGCAGCTGAGACTACAGGCATGTGCCACCATACCAGCTAATTTTTAAATTTTTTTTTTTTTTTAAGAGACAAGGTCTCGCTATGTTGTCCAGGCTAGTATAGAATCCTAGGCTCAAGCAATTCTCCCACTCTGGCCTTCTAAAGTGCTGGGATTATAGGCATCAGTCATTGCACCTGGCCTAATCCATTCTGTCATTGCCTACTTTGCAAATCATATATGTAACTATGAGATCTGTTATGAAGGGAGAAGGGGAAAGCACTGACAAGTTGGGAGATGAGGATTCTAGTGCTAATTCCTATGGCAATATGCTCAGCAGGTGACAACCTATATCTGCATTTCCATTTGACAGATGTGAAAATGACCACATGCCAACTCACAGGACCAATTTAAGAACTTCATGAATACAAGGGTACCTGCATAATGAACATTTGTATACCTAACCCTGAATTGTCCCCCACATCTTTAAAATATAAATAAATAAATAGATAAATAAATAATTTCATGAATAAGTATGCCAGTGCTTTGTAAACTACATTTAGCACTGTTCAAAATGCAAAGCATAACTACTGCTACTATAGTCATTTGTGATCATGTGATGTTTATGTAAGATATCATATAACTATGACAATATTTCATAGATTTAGAAAAACAACTAAATAGGATATTCAGAATGTGGTATGGCTCATTAATTTATTAAGGAAAATGTCTCTATTTTAATTTCTCTTATTAAAAGCTACCTGAAGGATACCTGATCTCAAATCAGGCAAAGTGGGGGCCAAATGGAGGCCCAAACTTTACCTGTACGATGCCACTTGTATACCTAATCCTGAATTGTACCTCACATCTTTAATTTTAAAAAAAAAGAAAAAAGAAAAAGAAAATTACATAATTATACACACAAAAAAAATAATAAATGCTGCCTAAATATGTATTAACACATTTTATGTCTAAGTATAAGGCAAAATTGTGCTAGAAATGTTTCAGAGTCCCTGTCCACTCATAACTCCTTCTAAGGGAAACTACCCAGCCCTCTGGACCAGGGAACATTCTTGTTAACAGTGACACTTCTTCCATATCCCTTCTGGGTGAATGGACCTAGTGGGAGATGCTTGGTTAATTCGTAGCAAATTATGACCTGTGTATCTTTGCTTAAATATGTGATTTAGGCTCATCAGATTTCTGCCTCAAGGATGTGATGCCAAACAGATCCTGATAGCTGTAACAATTTGGCAACAGTAGAACAAGTTTGGATGAAAATTTATCAGAGAAGCTCAAGACTGAGGTAGAAATGATTGACAAATTTATGACACCCAAAGAGTCTTTTACATGCCTTGATCACTCAAAAGAATAGCACCACTCCCCTCCTTGTGAGACTCAGAATATAGTAATTGTATGCAGCAACTTTTTTTCTTTTTTGAGTCAAGGTCTCGCTCTGTCACCCAGGGTGGAGTGCAGTAGCATGATCACGGCTCACTGCAGCCTCTACCTCCTGGGTTCAGGTGAACATAAACTTATATTCCTTATATTCCCAAGTTACAATACAGTCCCAAACCACAAAAGCCCTTCAAATCCTATTAGAAAATTAATCTACCAGGGAGCTAAAATATATGAAAGGCTACCTCCAAAAGTTATGAAACACAGGCGTATAGTTCTGTTATATATCTCTAGAAAACAAATATTCAAAAGAATTAATAAATCAAACCACAGAATTTGGCTATATCTCTGCAAAAAAAACCAGTTACTTTACTCAAACAGATGAATCAGACAAAAACACTATAAAAGATGTACAAACAGAAAAAAAAAACAACCCACTGAATAAGTTTTGAAAACCAAAAAAGTAGACACAGAGGTATTCTTGACCTCACTAACAACTGTTTTCAACTGCTGTTTGACTGAATTAGCTTTACCTTTTAAATTACTGTGCCTGAATCATGGATATAATTTTGTTTCTGTAACTTTAGCTGCTATCTACTTGCATGGCCTAAGAGAACCAATCATTAATTTTTAATCACTATCAATGGCTATATATTATGTAATATTTTAAATGGGGCCTCACTCAGTTTTAAAGGGCTTTCTTCCTTTGACAAAAATGGAAAGAAAATTTCTGCTACCTGGTAATTTATAGGACTTTCCCTAATCTATGAATATTAAGTTTAACTTAGTTATGGAGAGATGTTTATAGTTTCCTCTGTCCTGAAGTAGAGAAATAAAAATAGTAGTTCAAAGATACTTATTTAGGGAATTAAACTTCTAGCAAAAGTAATTTGTACTTGTTTTGGTTTTCAAACAACCCATTCATTTCCTTTTTCTACTGAACAAATCATTAACACTGTGACTTCTTTAAATATTTTCAAGTTTAAAAAAATTATAGTCAAGTTACATAAAAAAGGGGTTTGACTATACCTTAAAAACCTTCTGAATCTTTTGTAAAAATTTTAAATGTAAAGAAACATAAAAATAAACTGATTTAATATAGTAAAAAAAAAAACAAAAAACTTTCTCCACAAGTATTTAAAGCAATCTGTGTTAAAGAAAAGGAAAGAACGGAAAGAAAGAAGAAAGTTTCCTACCTCTGATACCTTGGTTTGCAGGAGAAATTGGTTTGGTGGTTTCTACTACGTAATCTAATATGCCTTGTGTTATTTCACTGTTGCCTTGAAGTTTAGTTTCCAACAAAACTTTCTTTCTCTTTTTTTTCTGTCCTTCAATGGGAACTTCATGCAACAAAATCTTAAATGAAAAAAGTACCATTGAGAGTAAGTTTAAAATAAAATTTACTTGCCCTAGAATACTACAATAAATAGCTGTCTTTCTCAATTCTAGCTGCATATCAGAAAACCTTTTAAAGCTTAAATCAATGGCAATGCCCAGCCCCATCTCACATCCACTAAAGTAGAATGTCTGGAACCTGGGGTCCTGGTCCTTACAGTTTTAGAAGTTCCCTGCGTGATTCTACAGTGCAGCCAGAATTGAGAAACAGTTCAGAGCACTGCTGAAGCAGCAGGCTCTTGAGAGCCTCGACAATTCCCCTTTAACAGGTTTCAGATAACCTTAAAAAAGCAGTTTAAGCAAAATGCTAGATAAGTTAGTCAGATTAGACTAGAAGTATTTAATACAGTAAGTCCCCTACATACGAACGTTCAAGTTACATACTTTGACATGCACACCTGAATTTTTAATATATTATTTCTCTCCACCAGGTGTCAGTATGGCCTGTTAAATTCATATAGTACTATATAGCCAACAGTGTTAGTTGGGTACCTAGGCTAACTTTGTTGGACTTACAACAAATGGACTTATGAACATGCTCTTGGAACTGAACTCGTTCATATGTTAGAGACTTCCTGTACTGCTTGAAATCTGTTACAGAGAAAAGGTAACAATTCATTAACAATATATTTACCTCAATTATATGTTTACTAGTATATATAATCTGAGATTACAGATAAGTAAATTAACTGCCTGAATCTTAATTTAAGGTAAAAGCATATTTTTTAATGAACTGTTAAAAGTTATTTGAAAAAATAATCAAGAATAATGTTTCAACTGAAACTTTGAGTTGGTTTTTATAGTGTTTTGTTTTCCAATTTTTGAGAGTCATTCCATGAACTATTCTAAATTCAAAACCTATAAATTGTAAGGAAAACTCAAACAAGTAACTTTTAACATCTAATAACCTAAATATGTCAATGAATAGCAAATGGTCAAAAGGCAAGTAGCAGAAAAAAGACATGATGGGCAAAGTTCTAGAATAATTAGCTTGTCAATAAGAATTTACAAGATATAGTAAGACTTTATAAGTAAATGATAATACACTATGACATTCAATGATAGAAATAAGATGTTATTAAATTTTCTCACTTCATATGACTTAGCTCGGTATTCCCGAGAATTGAGACTGGCAGCATTCTTTGGACGAATAACAGCAACATATGCATCTTCTATGTTTTCTGGATTTCCCATTGCTTTGTAAAACAAACAAAAAAAATCCTTAAAAAATTAAAAGACATAACTGATGACAAGATTAAAAAATATAATGTTGCACCCTAACTAGGCAACTTTCAATTCTACATAATCACTTGAAAAACAATTTTAAAAACAAAATTTTCTCTATATTGGAATATATATAGTGCCTAAAAGACAATCCTGTGATGACTTGATTATACCTTCACAATTGAACTATCCAAAACCTTAGCTTATAATTTAAGATTTCTCTGTCATCCTTTTTACTATTGAAGGTAATTTTTTTTCACTTTTTTGTAGTCCTTTTTCTGTTAAAGGTGAAATTTTTAAAAACAGGGATACATATTGTCATAGGCATTAACTGCACAATAAGAATCTGCCTTTGGGACCTAAAAAAAGTGATATGATTATAAAACATCTTGTAAGGTAAATAATGACTTGAAATAGTGACTCAGAATAATACATTCATATTTTTCCATAAATTACACAAGTGAATGTTGTAACAGTTGGAAATTAGAACTGGAAACAGGTAGCTGTTTTATGTCCTCTGACATTCATCCAGAAACTTTAGCAAGGAGAACTTTGATACTAACCATTGGAATGAGCTAAAGTAGTTTATAATTTTCTTTAGAGTTGTCTACAAAGCCAAAACCATTTGTCAGTTGATAAGAGTTTTCTGATGATTATTGATGAATCTTCCCCATTTCCCTTATCAATTTCCTAGATAATCTCATTTTTTCTTCCAAATACATTCACTGTATGTGTAACTATACATATACTTTTCCCCCAAAATTTTAAATATCCACTGGGCAATTTCCAACAGGTAACTGAATTCCAACCACACTTTGGTTGTTTAATAGTTATCTTCATTAAGTGCTAACACTAATTTTTTTTTATGGCTAGACTAAAATGTACCTTTTTGTATTAAATATTTCTTATCTATCTTTTTTGTTTAAAAAAAGCCCACCTCATTTATTTGCCAGCAAGTTTGTAAAAGAACATCAGAGTTTCTTTCCTGACCATGTTGAGATTATTTAAATAATAATAAACCATTATTTAAATGATCTGTTCATATTTAATTAGTTCCTTACTGCTGCAACTTTCTTTTTTTTTTGAGTTGGAGTCTCACTCTGTCGCCCAGACTGGAGTAGAGTGGCCGCTTCCGGTCACCGCAGCCTCATTTGCTGGGCTCCGGCGATCCTTCTGCCTCAGCCTTCTGAGTAGCCGGAATTACAGGCATGCGCTACCACGCCCGCCTGATTTTTTGATTTATTGTAGAGATGAGGTCTCACTGCACAGGCGGGTCTTGAATCCGCGGGCTCAGGCAATTCACTCACCTCCGCCTCCCAAAGGCGCGGGATTACAGGCTGAGCCACCAAGCCCGGCTTGCTGCAACTTTCAAGAGAGATCATTTTCAGGAAAGGGTTTTGAATGTTATTTGAGATAGAGTAATTTATTCTGTTTTCTCAATCGCAATTGAAAATGTCACTTTGGAACCTGTGATTGAATCACTTCCCTAAATAATAATTTAAAATTGCCTCCTGCCTGTTAAATTACCTTAAAAAGAAATTCTTTTAAAATGAAATAACTTTTGGTATTTTACATAAACTTTGGCATACGATTAAAACAACCATTAAAATTGCTGTACAATAATTTTATTTTAAATAAAATAATTTAAATAGTGATTTTAAATTCTAAACATTTTCATTGACTTAGGTTAAAAAACTAAGCTAGCTATTTTACTAGAGAACTATAGTAAAACCATTAGGATGAAGACATTTTGTTAAAAGTTGAGATCACACCACTCATTCTGTACCTCATGGAATTTTTTTCAGTTCAACTTTTTTCAAAAGATTATTCTTAAAACCCACTTCATGCAACAGACCTTCCTACATCATGTGAAAAGGATGAGGCCCTTCCCTTCTCAGAATTTCTATTTAGCAATTTCTTTTCACCTCAGATTAACAATGACCTCATAATAAAACTTTACAAATTATGAGATGTACCAATGACTCCTTGAAGAATGCAAGCCCCCAAAAGAAAGACTTTGTATTGTGAATGCATTGTATGATATGCGAGGCACAATCACAGAACCCATTTTCTAATGAGCACCTAAAAGAGAAATCAAGTGATTCTTAGTCTTTTTAAAAGACAATGTAAAGCAAATCAATGCCTATCTTGGTCAACTCATATTAAGAAAACATCTACTAGCAAAGTACTTTGTTAATATTTGTCACATCTCTAGAATATTTAGTACTACAGAGAACTCTCTCCTTTTGGAAGAGAAATATAACGTGATTTTTAAAAAATAAGCATAAAGGATATAGTATTTTGTTTTTAAATCAGTCAATTGATTTTCAAGTAATATTTAAACTTCACTATTTGAAACCTATATGCTTACAGGGGTGTGAAAGAAAGGCTTAAGTCAGGAAAATAACAAAAGCTACTAACACAAGAAGGTAAAACTGCTAAGGCAGAAATATACAAATGGATAGGAAAAGAGTAACTTAAGCTAGAAATAATAGAGAAAGGTATAGCTAGAATTTGCAATGTTATGTTTGGGCTGTGTTTTAGACAAGGGCCCCAGAGCGTAAGTACAGGAAGTATGTGGCGTTTTGTTCTGTGGCTCACTCCATTCTGGAAGATGCTTAGGCACAAATGATAATATGCAAAGGAGGCCTTCTAAGTGCAGTGGTGGAAGTGGTTCTCGACTGGAGGTGGCACCTACCAAGGACTGCTGGCACTTCTGGCTGTCGCGGTGCCCAGGGGAGGGGAGGTGTGCAACTGCTGTCTGGTGCCACGGAACAGGTTTGGGGCTAGTATGTGGTTAGTATGCTGGACCAGTGTTTGCGAGCAGAAACTGAAAAGACACATGAGCTCTCCAAAAGAGCAGGACAGGAATGAGGGAGGCTGAGTCAGGCCAGACAGATGAAAGACTTCTGGTGGAGTTAAAAACACCATGCAGAAAAAAGCAAAGAAAGCCGAAGACCTGAAGAGGTGCAGCAAAGGCGCAGGGGGGACAAGCGCATTAGAGTGACAAGCCGTGAGCCGCTTTCCCAATGACAAAATACTCTGCCTGAGAGGTTTTCTCCGCCACCACCCATCAACGGCCACCACCGGGAGAAGCGCGAGCCTCTGCCCAGAGCTTCCACCCAAGAAGTGCCTTCGGCTTCTCCGCAGCTACTTGCGAAAGACAAACTCCGAGCCTGGAGCAACTGTCTCCCACCTCGCTCTCCTTCGCTGGATCAGGGTCTTGCTCCTCCTGCTTCCCCGAAGGAACCCGAGAGGTCTCGGCCGCGCGGGCTCACGCGAGCGCCTCTCGGACCGCTACATGCAACTCGCGGGGTGGAACGGTCGCCTGGCGGCGGGCGGGGATCGTCACCGCTCTCGCATTCCTCCTTCCCTTCTTCCAGGCAAGCGGCCCGGCCCAACTTCCTGTGACAGAAAAGCCCTCGGTCGCTACCAGAAAGCCGTCCGGAGGGTTACGGCGCGCTCCTCACCCGGCACCGCCAGAGCCGGAGAACCTCTTGCCCACAGCTCCTTATTGTCCTTCCCTCTCCTCGCGCCTCAGCACTGTCCACCTCCCGCTCTCTCCCGAAACTACGGGTCCCAGGTCTTCAAATGCCCTGGCTTTCCGCCCCGCCGCTACCGCGCGAGGAAATCGCTTCCGGGTTCACGGCCTCGCAGCCCCGCGCTTGGCGGCGGAAGAGCTTCCGGGTCGGCAGCCGAGCAGCTGCTGTTCTTGCTGCTTGTTGCTGGACCTGCAGGCTCTCTGGGACTGGTGGCCGGTAGTTCTGCGACGCGGGTGGCGGCGGCGGGGGCGCCAGCGACTGAGCCGGAGCAGAAGGCGGGG